ATTTCAAAGAAAAGCTGATCAAATGCAATGACGTCCACACACAGCCAGCCCCAGCAGCTCCATTGGCATCGCCTTCGCCTTCGCCATGCTGTCGCGGCTGTCACTGGGCTTCTGTGTCTCTCTCTCTCTGTGTCGCTGTCGGTGTCTGCGGTTGCTTCGATTATTTTGCGTTGCTCAGTGGAGCAAATGGAATTACCCGATTCAGATATGACCGAGAAAATATGATTAAAGATGAGTGTGGGGGTGGGGGTGGGGTGGGGAGAAACGATAACCAAAGACGGAAGAGGAAAAGTCAGTGGCATTCCTGACCATAAATTCTATTTCGCATTTCCATATGCTATGATAGTACGTACCCCCCAAAAACCATTCAATTGCAGCGCATTTACGAAAATATACTAGCAGATACACATAAGAATGATATGTAGATAAAATGAAAACAAATGCTGGCTGGGAAACGAAACAAAAACAACCGACAAAAGCCCAGACAAGACAAAAGGCGAACACACATTATACGAGTAGATACGAGAATATATTCCAAAATGCCAGACGACTGCCTCAAGTTTTTCATTTTGGCTGAGCAAATGGACTTTATTGACTATTTGAACTCAGCACTCAGCACATATACAAATATCTCATTCTAATGGGTATATAGTACGAAATTATGGATCTGTTTATCTGTCAATCAGAGTTTTTTTTTGGCTAGCAATTAAATGTAAAGAATCAACGTCCCTATTTGCCACCTGGAAAAAAGATCTCCTTTAATGCGAATTTTGTATACTTTGGATATCCAGTGGATCTACATCTGATACAGATAAAAAACACAGCTACAAATTGTTGTTTTCGTGGTCAGGGATATGGAGGAAATGCGAATGTGGAGGCGTCTCTCTTTGCCTGTTTACGCCCAAAGTGCCGCCCACTGCATACTCCCCCTGATCGGCCCCATCCCACCTTACCCTACTGCTCCAACCCCCGTCGCATTTCGCTGGCCAATAAGTTTATTGTCTTTACATAAATTTCTTGAAAGAAAACAAACAAAACAGCTGCAGAGTTCGAGGAAATCACATTGCCTTCTCCATTCCCATTCCCATTCCGCCTTTCAGTTTTTGTTTTTTTTTTTTGTTTATCAGTATAGAGGCCTGCAATTGTAGAATATTTAAATAAAATGCTCAAATGTTTGTGTGTGTGCCTGAGGAAACTCAGCATTAATTTTCTTGCTCTCTTCTGTGCTGGCGTTTTCCATTGATAAATTGTTTCCTCCGCTCATGTGTGTGGGTGGGTTGCTCTGGAATTCGCAGCAGCGGCGGCGGCGGCAGCGTCTGTGACTGGTGGCCATCAAAAGAATCTGCAGTTCAGCTCTGGCTGACCCTCAGGCCTCGCTGCGGGGCCAAAGATCTTTGGAGCCGCTTGCTTTATAGTTCGAAATTGCGGCACAGTTTTTACAAAATATTTTTACATTATCGCACTCGCACATATCTCTTATACAATATGGATAATGGCGGGCAAGGTCAGCGCGGTGAGTGGCTGTCGCCACTGTGATCTTCAACGTTTCTTTCTGCCGTCAAGTTCAACAACCGCCCGACCGAAGAGATTTGCGATTAAAAATGAAATATGTATGTACGAGAATGTTTGCATTAATTTCCATTTGACTCAATCAACCTTCGACACCGAATGCCAGAGAAGAGACTTTGTCATATCAGTGGCGAGGTGGGATTGGGATCTGCTATTAAAGTGGGAAAAACATTAAGCTAATCTTTCATTCAGAACTAGGGGCGTTATCATCTGACTATAATCCAAGCACACACGCCGGCACACTCGTAGCTTCACGGCAGTCCGCCGCTAGAAAACTATTCTTTACACACGCTCGCCTCGCATCACACATACACACTCGACTAACGCACACATTGGAAAAAGGAATACAGGTAATTACGGTGGTTAGTGGGTAACAACAAGAGAGAGAAACTACAAATGAGAAGTGCAAAACTGCACAACAACTAGAAAGGAAGCTCCCGCTTGGGCGTACCGAAGCTAAAGATACCCTCGGAGGCTGATAATTTATGAGTGAGTGTGTTGTGTGTGTTTTACGTTTCAAGATTATCTTGATCTTCCAGTATGATATAGTTTCCACTTTAACGAAGGGTTTAACAACAGGTTGGCATAGCAACAGGCAGACAGCATCTGCCCTTACTAATTACAGGGTCGTTTATGTGTCGAATTGCAGCAATGCAGCAACCTCTGGGAATTATCATGATGCCCCCGCGTGAGAGTACGCAAAAAACAAAGCGGGTCCCCTAAGGAAGGCCAAGCAATTGAGTTGAGGTTTCTTCTTACTCTTTGTTGTCGTTTTTTGTTGTTATTGCTGCTTATGTGATCCGCGCTTCCAATGTGGGTCACTTGCAGGCACCCAGCGAACGGTTCGGGTCCCATTCCGGCCTAGAAGTGAACCATTTACCCATTTTTCTTGCCGAGTGGCTGTACTTAAGCCGCCGCTGCCAGAACAAAGGCAATTGGAAGTGAGATGGAGGGAGGGGAGAGGGCCTTGAAATGGCATGTCAGCATCTTGGAACGATGCGAGGGCAGGCAGAAACATCTGTCGCTGCTGCCGGGGCGCACATCCTGTTGAACAAGTATCCTCTGTGTGTGCCCATGAAACGGAGAGGCAGCAGCAACAACAACAGCTGGAAAACATTTAAATTCGAATTTCGAGAAGGGGCGTTGCTAGGCATGCTATCGTGTGTGTGTGTGTGTGTATCTGTGACTGATTGTAGCATTTGCTTATCATATAATCTAACGCTAAAGAAAGTGTCAAGTCAAGCAAAAGCGAGTAAATGCTAAACGATTTGTATTGATTGCGCCCGACAACAAGCGAAACCGTTGGATGATTCACATAGAATAAATACATACCATACCCTCGCTCTGCCCTACCGGAAGAGGTGAAATGGTGAACACCCCGAGCCCCGAATCGATAGCATTAAACACGAAAGCGAACAACAGACACCACTGCCAGTGCGAGTACACACCTTCGCACGCAATTTCCCTTCGTTAACGAAAGCCAAGCTCCTCCTTTGTAGCCCAAGTAGGGGTCTGGGGTTCCGAATCGGGCGACGCGTCCCCAGCCCCTGCCACTCGCGCCATGCCCCGTTTCGTAATCAGAATGGACGCGGGATGGGACCCCGAAAGAAAACGTAAATTGCACTTGATTCTTGATGCTTTTGTGGGGCGACACGGATGGCGTCGCCTATCCAAAATAGCAATGTATATTATTTATAGTTGCCCAACGCCAAGCGGCCCCCCTCCACGGCACTGCCCAGTCCTTCATGGCAGCCACACAGCTGCAGCTGAACCACACACGAAAACTCACCTAAACAGCAGCTGAAGCTGTGGCACTGTGCCCGCATTATTCAACTTGCAGCTCGCGGAACACTTTAATTCGATTAATTAATTTAATACAACACGCGCGCAACGCACATTTCATTAATCTTCGCTACACTTATTGGCTTCTTCGGGTTTTTTTAGCTCGGAAAATGATTTGTTTTTGTTTGTTTACCGGGGTGCGAAATTATCGATAAGATATACCGTCCGGGCCTCGTAAATATACCAAAATATACCATTGCATCTTCAAAATATACCGTAGTCTTAAATAAATTTTCTCGATTTTGATGTTCTATTTGATATTACTTGCTTGCAAAGACTTTCACCACTAAAACAGTAATTTAATCCGATTGAAGAATAAATTTGGCTTACTAAAAATGCTCCTTTGTATGGGATTGTATACCTTATGACCTTATATTTTACAAATTTTCATTTGAATTTTTCATTAAAATCACACCTTCTGGAAGCACGGGAGCTTTGTCTTCAGTATGTAAATGTATGTAACTTGTAGAGACGCATGTAGGAACTGGTAACATTGAAAGTTTTTGATAAATAGCACGCTCAACAAAAGAGGAATAGAAATTCTATTGTTTTCCTGAAAATTGGACAAACGGAACATAAGTAAATATTATAATTGGCCGAATTTCATCCTACGTGATGGACATTCTCAGGGAAATTCTCTCCTGCCTGCTCTCGCATGCACTATTAGGATCCGTTCAACAGGTGCGTAAAAGGTGTGAGCTTTGAGAAGTTCGTCCCTTTTTTCCTGCTTGCCATACCTTGCGGTGACATGCCAAAGAGAGGATTAGGTCAGCAGTTCCTCTCTTCTCTCTCCTCATTTATGCGTCTCAATTTGAGCACAGAAATATCTCAAAAATAATATACGTTCACACTTACATATACAAGCACTATTCCTCGACTCTAATCTTCTATTTGATATTACTAGCTAGTAATAATTCTCAGCGCTAAAGGTATAATTGTATCTAATTCATCAATCAATTTTCCACAAGATTGGCTAGTTTTCATGACCCTTTTTTATTGGATTAAAACTAAAAAGGTCACCAAAAAAAATATCGAATAATATTGATAAAACCAAAGAAATGGGCAAACTACAAAATGTATTGCATACATTTGCGAGCGCGGAACGCCCTTCCATACTTTCAGGCTGCTCCATTCATGCCTTTCTATAACCAACTAGCGTTAAACAGCCATATCCTGCAATCCTTGCAATTGAAACTATATAAAAGTTGATGGAAATTGAACAAAACTTGTCAAAATGGTTGAAACAGAGGAAATATTATAAGACCCCCGGACTGGGGAAAGTATAATTTATTTTGTAAAATTGGTTTACAGCGCTTATATTGAGAAACATCAAATGCGACAATATGAATCTACAATAAATGTGTAAAGTGTACGCTTTATGTGGTATAGTACATAGATTAGTAGTATCTTCTGCTTCTCTTCTGACGCATACATTGGCTTATATCAAAATTCTACTATAGTACCAAAAAACTGGCTAATCATTGTATGGATTGTGTGTACGAATAGGTTCAGCTGAACACTTGAATTTTGATCAGTTTGCCTGTTTTGGTCTCGGTCGGTTCTGATTCGATCTGGTCGGGTACTTGTTCTACTGTCTACTACCCCCAGCGGTGAGGCGGTAGTGCTTTGAGATTCCTAAACCTACAAATCTACTTAGGAGTTTAAACTGCCATTGGATGGGTGAGAAAGGTTCTTTGATTTACGCAGTAGAGTCTATAAGGGGAATTCAATTTGGCATTTACAACATGTGGATGTAAAACGTTATAACAGGTATGAATGGATAGGATAGAGTATGCAGAAGCGTGATCTGTTTTGTGCTAAGCCTTTCACGACAGGACGACAATGGTTCAAAGCTCTGAGTCCTTGGATGCGTCTCCTTTGAGACGCTCTTCCTGCACTGGCTGTGGTTGGCTGGGCCCAGCTGGAACGTCCTAAATGCGTTCGGTGACGTAGACTTTGGCCGAGGCAGGAGCGTTGGATCGTCGCACCGCAAAGGTGACAATGATCCCGATGAAGATCAGAGTAATGCCGATGGCACTGGTGATGTAATGCTCGATGAGCTTGTTCTCGGCGCTACAAAGAAGAACAATTAGAAAGGATAAAGGAGCAAACCGACAACAGCAAACACTCACCTCACGTTGGTCTCGGCCACCGTCTCGCGCTCCTTCTCAATGAGACCCGTCACAGATGTGGCAATGGCCAGCCAGAAGTTGGCCAGACCCAGACTGGCGTGTATGGGCACCATGGCGGAGCGGCAGCTGTAGGTTTTGTTCTCACAGCAGAGCATCACCAGAAAGCTAGTGTAGGCATCGGCAATGGGGTGATTAGTATGCGGGATTGGGACATTGGGGAGGGTGCATGGGACATACCTGAAGAACCCGATCACAAACTGCAGCACAAACATGCCCATAGTCACGAAACCCAGCCACGAGTGCAGGCTGTAGAAGTTCACCTTTTGCAATGCCTCGTGGGAGTCGAAGACGGAGAGGAAACCCAGGGCGATGCACGGAATGGCAATGGCGTGAAAGAACATGTGGATCAGCTTCACATAGATGTGCTTCACGCACCGGCACAGGCGATAGATCAAGATGGCTGTGTGGACACAAGAGACCGGGCGACAATCATGATGAGATCGTGCAACAGCTGAAAACAATGGCAGGTGACTTACAAAATCCAGAGAGAGTGACGAAACCGGCAATCATCAGGATGGGATGCAGATTGAACTGCTGCTTGGGGCTCTCCGACCAGGCGAAGCCATCGCGATAGAACATCACCCAGAAGAGGGTCAGCACCAGGACACCCACCAGCAGAATGGTGGAGAGTATCACGATCAGCAAGTACTCGCACCAGGAGCAGCAGTTCCAGGCATTGTCCGGATCCTCCTCATAGCGCCTGCAAGCAGAGTTCATTTTCAATGTTAATCACAATTTCCATTTCCATTCAGTTACTCTTTCTTGGGCAGCATGCCCAGACGGGGTCGACGGAATAGCATGCGGTTCAGCTCATCGACAAAGGGTTTGTCAATGGCTTTCATTTTGCTGGCGAGTTTCCTTTTCGTGGGGAGGAGGTGTTGCATGGTCAAAAATTAAACTTAGAATTACATTTGCCCAACACAGAACTGTTCCACATGTAAATGGTTCCTTATTTAAGCATCATTTGTGCTGTCACTGTGGAATTATGGAAATTCTCTTGAGATTTAGTGGATCTAATTGCGGGTTGAATGTGCTGCTAATCGGCCTAATTGGTGCACAACAGCCAGCCAGACCCTCAAGTGGAATCAGTGGGATTAGGAAAGTTTCTGCAATTATCTAATTTGCTAAGTAAATTTCCCATTTCCTTTGAAGCTACGCGAGATTGTTGCTCTGTGCAGTGGAGCCAGCTCTGTGTTGTGGGATGAACATTTGGTACTTGCTTCATTCACCTCCTCTCAAACGTGGAACACAGTTTAATTGTTTGTTGTTTAATTTGTTGCCCAGTGTGTGAGTTTAATTTACCGATAAATTCTGTATGACAGCTGGGAAAGTGTTTGCTTTGCCACTCCCCTACCCCAACGGAGTCAAAATTTGATGGTTTCAATTCAATTGCGGCCGGGGGTGCACGAGTATTCATTTCATCACTTGTCGTGCGATCATATGTCATCCCATGATGGGTAGAATGATATCATCACCGAAACATATCCATCATCAGAGCATGGGCATGGCTGCTGCACTGGTACAATGCTCCCCCCAGGAGCTGCCCCAGCAAATCCGCGGGCCATCTGTTCAATGTGAACAGCCAACAAACAAACTGAATTATGCGCTGGGGGGGGCTGCGCTGGAGGCTGGGGTAATTAGGCGCATTGCTGGCTGCCAACGAGGCGCTTAATCATTCCAGTCCCAAGTGCAGCTCTTGGCCAGGCCCAGTGGCGGACAGACAGGCGGACAGACAGGCGGACAACTCTTCAAGTGAAATGCATTGCAGTGGCATGCGAAACGAAAGCAAACAAAATGATTATTTAAATTAATAGTGCGTTGCGCCCCCTGCCTACCTACCCCGCACTCATGCTGCGATAATGAAAGCAAAAGCAAAGCAAATGGGAAACTATTAAGTACTATTATTGTGACTGGTAGTCGCAGTCACACTCTCACTTTCCCAGTGCCACTTGCATCATTTGCTGATAGTGCTAATGAATGCTCTAATTTACATGCAACAATAATCCACTGACAGCGAGAGAGCCACAGAGCCACAGAGCCACAGAGGGGGAGAGAGAATGAGCCCAAGCCCAGACACATTCGATGGGCGATGTCAATGAACGATGCTTGCTCGTACTCCTACAGCTTGGTGTCTGTGCCTCTCTGGCTGGGGCAGGCATTTAGCTTTCAACACATTGCAGAAGGGGCACAAACGGGTGGCAGTGGCAGTGGCAGAGCTGTGTCTGTGTCTGTATCTGTGTGTTTGCCTTAACACACATTTCACTTGCCGCAGCAAATAAGCAGACGGGTGTGCATCGGCGCTGTGTATCTGTATCTATGCATCTGCATGGGTGCATGTGTATCTCTTTCACTTTTCACTCAACTGGGAGCGAGCTGCTGCAGGTCTGAGAAATTTTCGCTAAAAGCTTTTCGCTTTATGGAAAACTTGTTTTTGCCTGTGCCGCCGCCGCCACCTGTTTTGGCTTGAACGTGAACCTGAACCTCAGTCATGGCTGTGGATAATGGGTCATTATTATTGAGGCTATTGACACTCTGCACTGGGCACCCACAGGCACAGTGCCACAGAGAAAGCGCCGCACAAGTGGACAGCTCTCAGATGCATCCGCCACAAGGGTGAGCCCCTGCAAAGGCTGCAGCCCGAAGATGGCAACCAATCAACCTCTTGATAGATGCAAATTTAATTAAAGTCGCTTCATTCCGTTGATTGCTGGAAATGCCACAGCTGCCCAGTTCGGGGGCAACACAGCATCAGCCCAAAGCTTAGGTAAATGTTAATGTTTTCTTATCACACGCGAAGAGATAAGATCATGTGATTGCGATTGTGTTGCTGTCTGCGATTGCCATGGCCACGAGATGTAGCCACAGGCACTAAACACAAAAAAGAGCAACAGAAGAGCACTCTGTCCGTATCTGTGCTTAAAAGCAGGCTAATTATGGCCATAACTGCTGTCGCAGCGCTAAAGACGTTGCCAACGGTAACTGGAGCAGCGTTAACTGTCCAACTTGGAGACAGTCGCAGTGCTGCGGAGGAGGATTCAGAGTACTCCAGGAAGCCTGGGCATATTGCCATTACAGCAGCCATAGGATGTAACAAATAACGAGCCGGAGCGGAATGCACAATTAAAAGTCTGCAACTGGCAACGAGGCAAATGAAAACATTTGTTGGCTGCTGCCCCCGCAGCAGCACGCACCACTGAAAATTCATACAACAACACGCTGGATGTGTGTGTGTGTGTGTGTCCTGCGGGTTAATTATGTGGATGGAGCAGAGTGGCGTGCGCTGTGGTTTTATTTTACAATGCCCGACAATTGTTTAGAGACGGCGCGTCGTCTCGGAGTCTCTATTTGTGCGGGTGTCCGATCATATTAAGCGACATCACACACACACACACACACACACACACACACACACACACACATGTGCCTCTGAAATTGTATCTTGAAGATTGAATCGAATTCGCGGTGCCATAACTCAGCTGCGAGAACGAATGCGATCCTCAGATGAGCTCCCCCATTCGTCGCGTTGTGTTTTTTCGCCTTAATCCGCAATTGTTTCATTTAAATAAATATTCTGCACTCGATTGGGGGGGGGTCTTGAGTGTTCACTTACGCTGTTGTTGTTCCTCCACGCGGCATTTTGGCCAAGTGACGATCACGCATTTAGTCAAGTGTCTGAAATTAGTTGACAAAACTGCTGGCTTCTTGTTTTTCTTTACTAGAAACGATCTGAATGATGTGAGTCACTGTATGGATGGGGCTATATATTATTTTTCTATAGATCGTTCATGGGGTAAAGCTTTCCGCAATTGAGTTTCGCTTGCTGTAAAATGCCAATTTGTGGACAATTGAGACACGGAAAGGGGAAAGGGGGGTAGCGTAGGGGGAACACTGGCACTGGCACTGTCATCTGACTGTTGGTGGGATCGTTAATCGCTGAAACTGGTGAAAGAGAACCCAGGCATCGAACAGGTACAGATGCTAATTGAAATGCGTTAATTTGTCAATCACAAAATGTTCGTTTCGAGGTTCGACTTCTGTTCTGCCATAAACGATCCCATACAGTCGCAGATTCGTTATCTATTCGTGTGCTCTAGCGGGGCAGAAAAGTTCACACGCAGCGGCTTTAATTAATGCGATTTCTTTGGATGCAAATTTTGATTTTGGCACCGAAAAAACTCCCAATGAAAGCCACACAGAATTGTGTGTGTTTTACACAATTGGATAGCGAGAGCATCTAAAGTTGGTAAAAAGTGGCACACACACACACACTCCGCAAGAGTATAAACAAAACGCTTTAATTATAAAATCGCCGGTTTCGGTTCTTCTTTTGTTTATGTTGCTCCTTTTGTTAAGAGAGCGAGAGACGCGAGACACACACCAGCAGCAAAACAACACACACAAACGATATTCAAATGCCGCCCGCTATCCTCACACGTATCGAAAAGCGACAAGCAGCGACAAGCGACAGTATACACACGAGGAACAACTGATATCTGTTGTAATGGGCGATCTAGACAAGACAAGCACAAAATTTCAATTTTCCGCCAGCCCAAAGCTGCTGTGTTGCCGTGCGCCAGATCGTTGAAAACGACAAACGACGCGTTAGGGTATTTTTGATACCCGCTTTGATAGATCGCTCGCGTGTAGTCGAGACACAAACCATGCGTGTAGATTGCATGTCAAATGTAAGAACAGAGTGTCATACATAAAAGTCCAAACTTAGTTGTAATAGAAATATCGAAAATCTTTCTAGGCCTTACTAATCCATTTATTTGCACATGTACGCGGATATAACCAACAGAAATGTACTTGAAAGTTATCTACCCAAAGCTGCGGCCTTGGATTATACAATTTTTGACTTTCAAGACTATTGCTGTCTGCAACGGCTCCTGTTGCTAAGATAAATATTGTAAAGATAAAAGATAGTCAAGAGACGCGACTCCGACGCCAACAGCTTAAAAGTACATAAATAATGTGACCAAACGTGAACAAACAAAAGTACATAATAAGTGTAGATGTAGCAGGAGGAGCCTCACTTTCGGTGCCTAATTAATGGGACACCTGTACATCAATAATACGAACTTACGTGTGAGGAGTGCCTTGGGGTTGGATCTATAAATAAATGGGTGAAATGAAATAAATGTGTGGCTGAGTGAGCATGAATACTCGTATCAATCAAGACACCTGGCAGCAGGAGCAGCAGCAGCCTGGAAGCCAATCAAATATTTATGGAAACGAGGCTTCCCCCAATTTGTGGCACAAGAACTTTGCTTGTGGGTCAGTCAGCACTTACGGGTGGTGGGTAAGGAGAAGCACCCCCACACTCACTACTGCAAACACACCCTGCTCTGCTCTGCGCTGCTCAGCTCTGCCTGGCTTTGGTCATTACTCGAGGTCGGTGGAGCCCTCTGCTGGCGGATTTCCTTTTTTTGGTGTGGGAGCGCGCCCAAAAAAATTACTTAAAATCAAATGAAAATGAAAATGAAAAGCAAATGAAAACGGAATGAAAATGTGGCAGAAGAAGAGGGCGGCGAAAAGGTTGAAGCCAACTAAGGACACAGGACAGATGTCCGTTCGTCTGGAAAATATGTTCGTAATTACTTGAAGTTGCTGGACAAGGACAAGGAGGGAGTGGGTTGGGATGGGAATGTTTACTACCAGAGGCAACTGTACGCGCACACGCGATCAACTGTTGCATGTGTGTGTGTGTGTGTGTGTGTCTCTGTGTGGGTGGAAGGATGTGCCCGAGTTTTTTGTGTGATTTGCGAGCGAGGCCGCATTAAAATAAAATTTACGACTTTCAAAGATATGTGAATTAGGAAATTGGCGCGTAAAAATAACAACCCAGAGTACACCCCACAAGTCAAAGGGTGTGTAGGCGTTAACAGTTGTTGTTGTTGTTTTTGTTAATTAGCCTTAGCCTTTTGGGGCAGAGCGTAATGCTAACGTGCACCAATCCCATTCACATACGCTGCATGGTGCCATTAGAATCGATTAACGGCCAGGACAGCCTTTAACGAGGGGCTGGCACATAAGACTGGTGCAGAGTTTACCCTGAGACTTAGTCGGTGGACAAACAAAATACAAATCCAGCTGCCAGCTGAGCAACATAACCAATTGCCAGCTCTCCAATTGTCTCTGCCCTGCTCTGTGCTCTCTGGGGCCATTTGTGGGATGTGTCTGCCTGTCTGTCTGTCTGGAAATCTGTGTTCTAAGTGACACAATTTGCTTAAATATTTATGCACAAATGTTTTTGGAGGCAGGGGGAAGCTGTGAACTGTGTTGATGGCTTGATGATGCCAGAGAAAATGTTGTGTGATTGGGAATCGGTTGAACTTACTTCTCGTCTGGCGGTGGTGGCATCTCAATGCCGTTCGGGGTCCCAGGCGGTGTCTTCTCGCTGTCCAACATGGCCAATGGTGCCTCCAGCGGTGGCAGGGGGCTCACCGAATTCGAGTCCATGTTAAAGCAATCAATTTTGATGGTTTCTGTTTGCTCTGTTCTGGCCCTACAAAGTGTAGAGAGATTTGTATGTGCTGTGGTTTTTATACGAGTAAGTATGTTTTATGTGCGGCACATTTATAGAGGCAACAACAACAGCAGCAAACTGCAGCACAGCTACGTCCGCATCCTCCCACCGCATCATCTGTGTCTGCAAGGAAAGAACTGTTCCGCACAATCTGGCGATGAATTGCGGCGCCGCCAGATGCCAGTTTTCATTACGTATGAATGGGCAGAGGCTGGGCGCGAACTCCCCGACCATTGGAATGCTGCAGAAGAACGGGGCCCCAGTCCAGCCATGCACAACATTCATTGGAATTGGGTTTTATTTTTGGCCACTCCGCTCCACTGGAGTATGCCGCGTAAGGTGGCAAAAGTGCAGCGTCAACAGGAGCTGAGCAGGGCAGGGCAATGCACTTGACTTGGTTTTGCATTCTGTTTGCTGTCTCTGTCTCTGCTGCTGTGTCTGAAACTGTCTCATCACACGTCCGATTGGGTTCTAAGGAGAGCGCCAATATCCGCTGGTTTCCCCATCGAGTGGGAGACTCCTACACCAAACAATGACTGGCAGTTCATTGAACCCACTTGATGGACACTTGAATGCATAGCAAATGTTGATGCCGAGGCCAACGGATTCCTTTTCCCATGGATTCCTGTGACTTGTTTGCATTACAATTACCGCCCCCCCACCGACATGTGTACATTTCCCACGAGTGGACTGCCACTCACACACACTGGCTCCAAAGTTATTTGCATTCCCCTGCCGATTATTATTGGCAGCTATGCTCTGACAATTATTGTCAGTATGAAGTACAAGTGTGAGGGTGAGGGGGCGTGCTCCATTTGCTTTGATTGGCTTCCCGATTAGAGTGAGACTCTGTGTGCTTGTAAATGAGTTCAATTTCGAGAGACATACTTGGACTTCTCGAGCCCCAATTCCCCCATTCAGATGCTATCGCTGGAGCTGCGTTCTGAAGAGGAAACTGGACATTATGCAATTGCACAGCTGCTAACGCTGCAGATACGGGCCTCTCGACTGTCTCGACTGTGGAGGAAACACACAAAACAAACAAACAAAGCGAGCAGCCAAAAATTCAGTCACAAAAGAAACCGTTCCCGAGTGTAGAATGCCCCGGATATGCAGCAAAATGTGCCGAGTTTGTCAATTTTTGGGGCAGCCTCGGACGAGACAGAGACAGAGATAGAGAGAGGGAGAGCCAGTGGCAGCCACAATAGACATCCTTTTTGTGTGGCAACAAACTGAGTAATCCGATTTGGGTCTGAGGGGTCTGGGGCTTAAACCTACAGACACACAGGCACAGGCAGGCGGAACCGGAAGTGGAGCATCTATAGACGATGCCACCCAGCGATGCTGCTGCTGCCACTCTATGCCGGGCCAAGACACAACCTACCCCAAGATGTAATGGCGTGTGGCAGCGAAACCCTTTTCTCTTTTTAGATGCTCAATTAAGTAATTACACACACACAAAAAACACTCCACGAATAACGAATATCCAATAATGAATAAGTTTAAGTGTAATTGGATTTGTGGTCGCTCCAATGAATTTGCTTGTAAATATTTGCACCAATTAATTCATCTGCAGTGAAACGAGCGAACGGAACGCAGATGCACCACGCACACACATATTCCCGGACCGGCAAAGGCAACAGCAACGACGTTCCTGATGAATCCGTGATGGAAACTCCAAAAACAAACCGAAACGAATCACACTCTCTGTCTCTCTCTCTCTCGCTCTCTCTCTATGGCTCTGTGCGAGCACCACGAATGCTGTGAACGAACTGAAATTGGAATCAAAATTCGGAATTGGCCGGCAGCTAGATGGAGCGCACAGAGCCGAGAGCCGAGAGCCGAATGCTCCAACCCAACTTCGTACCGCACGAATGTAATGTAGCAGTCGCTCGTGTGCATACGTACATGTGTGGTAATGTAGGATGTAAAGAGTGATGTACAACTGGGGAAATAAACATTTTGAATGCTGATGAATTTCTCTGTTTCGTGCACTAACTTTATATATGTAAACTTGATTCATCTGAACAGAATAATACAAACAACACACATAGAAACATTAATTGACTATAGCATAGTGTAATATATACTGGGTCGCAGACCCCAAAAATCGGTTAGTAAATAGATAAATACAAATAGTTATGTGTACTTGATATTTGTTAAGTTATTGTCATTGTTTCAGTTAGATATTCTGGAATAGATGCCGCTAACTGACGATGGTAAGTACCAATGCCGCTCGAGCTGAAGCGGGG